AGAAAACAGTTGTGCTGTGTTCCTGGCGGAAAACATGCTTCAGACTAGAATATTCTGGCCAGAATCCAGCGCCGTCATTTCACTCACCCGTGACCCTTGACCTCGCCGAACTGCCCTCGGCCGTCGATCGGGTCCTTCGTGGAACGAGACGGCCGGAAAGAAGAGTACTGGGAAAGTACTGGGAGAGTACTGAGAGAGTACTGGTCGTGACGGAGCGAGCGGATTCGTCGAAAAGCGAAGGAAGAACGAGAGTGTCGTCGCACGTCCGTTCGCCACCACGACTTTCCTCACACGAAGACAAACTCGGTTTTCCGGGTAGACGGCAGAATTCCCTTTTTAAATTTCCATATTTTTTGGGGGGAGCAGTGAAGCTAAAGCGAGACGAGGAAAAAAAGACAAGCAAAACAGAGAGACAGGAGAAGCTGGATGGGACTTTTAATGCTGAGAATCAGTGAATAAATAGCTAATGGGTTCCTGAGTTCAGGAAAAAAAATTATTTCTAAGATACAGTTTTACAGTCAATCGTGAGTCTTCCTCGTAGATTTATCATTTTATCTCCCGTTTTTAGTTCATTTTTTCTTCTATCTGTAAATATATTCATTTCAGCATTATTTGTCAATAAAAGTCCTCTTCAGAGCAAAAAATGTCATTCAACATTCAACAACAGATGATCAGAGTTGATCCTCTTCGCTCACAATAGCAAATACAAGCTTCTCTGAATCATATTCACATTTAACAGGGAATGTAAAATCGATTTCCCAGGAAGCAGAGATGATTGCCTACAAAAGATTAAATAAATAAGCTGGATTTATCTTTTCAAGATGGAGTGGAAGTATTTTACGAGCAAAAAAAAAATGAATCGAAAACTTCTGCGTGGTCGTCAGACAGACATTGGAGACCCAGAGGGATCCAACTTGGCGGGATTCAGCTGCCTTAAAATTGGAATCTGACCATTAGGAAGTACTTAGCCCACGTTTCCTTTGCGTGTCTCATCACGAGGAGACGGAATCCAACGTCCAAGATCCTCGTATGAGGAAATCGAAGCGATTCGAGGCAGAATCGACTGGGGGAGAATGGGAGGCTGTGCACTGTGGAGACGGAACGAAAATGGCGCCGTTTTTTGAGGTTTGCCAGGCTATCTCTCTCCAGGAGCTCCATGTAAGCACCTGTAAGATGTTTTCCGCGACATCTAGCAAACAAAAATGAAACTGCAGTGAAGAAATTCTATGCTAGATGGCAGGAGTGCACTGAATCCTGTGGCGGATAATGCATCGGTATGGCGTCCCTCCTCGATGTTGATAAGCTGATAGGTGCACATGTGCTCCAAGGGCTGTGATCGACTTTTCAGATGCCCAGATGACCTTTTCTATCATTCCGGGTTCCACCCTTACCTTGCAATAGGCCATATTGCAGCAAGAGAAGAGGTGAGCTGATTCGCTATATCACCGCTTCTTAGTAGCAAGCATGGTCTCGGACCTGACTAGGCCTACTCCCAACTAGTTACGCTGTTTCTGATTTGAATTCATACTACCCCCCTATTGTGAAGCATGAAGAAGACACAAAATTCCAGGTTCCGCGTCAGCAGAGGATAGGAAAAACGTGTGTAAGAGATGTGTAAGATGTCACTACCTGTAATCGATGGTAGCGCTCTTATATGGGGTACGAATTCATTCTGAAGACAGTGTAACAGGTTCAACATTAGAATTACCCAAGGCGAAGACATGATAGCCCTAAAGGTTGTACCAAGTCGAGCCTGGCAGTGACCCTATGAGCCCATCAGGTCACTCAAACTAGAACTTGAATGAGCTTTTAGGTGCTGTGAAACTTCAGCTCTGCAACAATTTCAATGGATAGTAAAATTGTTTTCAAGCAGTTCATGGGTTTGAGTCAATGGTCAGCCATAGCAATCGTACCTATTCCTTGATAGGCGTAAACCTGGAGTTGTGCTGGTAGTATTAATAAGTGCCATGACCCAGTCTCTGTGGTTGCCCTCTTGCTACTTTCACTCCATTAGTGGTTCATGATGATGTGTAGTGTCAATTGTTCCACACAGTGGGGGTGCAGCTGCAAGATCCTGTAATTCATGTTAAGTAGTCTGGACATCTATACTGCATTAACTCAGTTACTTCTATGAAATCTTGATGGACTCATCCTCAAGAAGCATAGGCCTGGAAATTGAAATTCAAAGGGAATGGTGAACATTTTCATGAAGTCTAAGCAAAGTATTGTTGGACTGGTCTGAGGGATATGATACATAGAGGAAAATATATCAGTAGTAACCATTTGAACAATGGAATAACCTGTCTCTTGAGACAGATGGAGGGCATTGCTATGCTACCTGAGTTTACAGCATTGGCTTGTCCTTTGGGCCATCCTTGACATGTGGTTCTGAAGGGTCAACTAGCATTCCAAGCATGGATGTATGTGAATAACTTTTCTCCCTTCAGATTCCTGAATAATTGAGCAGCTATCCAAAACTGGAATCGTTAGCAATGGACCTAGCAGAACCTTTGTTTTTCAGTGGTTAGTCAATCTGAGGAAGATGTCATGGAAGGTCAGCTTTCTGTTATTTCATTCATGAATAAACTCAGGACTGACATGTATTTGGTGAATTGCATAGTATAGTTTCAGATTTCTTCATGTCCCAAAAGTGAGAAATGTCTGGAGTTCATTGAAACCTCCATGAAAAAGAAAGAAAGGAAGAAGGAAACGAATTGGTCAAAATAGGTCTTTTTATTTAAACAAGGAACTGATGGTCCTATACCCTTGTGAATCTTTCACCCTCTCCATGTGTGCCTGAGAGGGCCGCTTTTGGCGGCTATAAACCATTTCTTATGTAGCCTGCTCAGCTTGATCCTTTTAAGCTGCTTATTCAAAATCCACATGGAGAGGTTCAACAGATTCATGTTGTATATCTCAGGTTACAAGCAGTCTCTTACAGATCTCCAAGATTCTTGTAGATATAGAGAGAAAATACATATTCAACATGCATAATATATATACAAAGGAAGGGGGAAAGGAAAAATTTCATGTTTCACTCATGAGCTACAGGGGTAATCAACAGCCACATTGTCCAGACATTTTTCATTCTTATCTGCCACCAGATGGAAGCATGCCTATGTAGGTGACTCACCCTGCTTGTATACATTTGCTCTATGCTTTGTGAAATTGAACTTCTGGTGTGTGAAGTCAATTAGAAAGTACAAAATTGGATGTGAATCTGACACTACCAAATCAATTTTGATTTCAATTTAGGATGTAGACAGCATCTCATAGACTACATCAAATTCTGTTTGCACCTGTCTTGGCATTTTCTATATATGTCTTTTCAGAATTTCTAAGCTTGGAAAGATTTTCTAGATAAATAGTAATTGCAATGATTATTATCCATAAATTACATTAGAAAGGAGTGTAGGTCTATTCAAATAGAAGGTAGTTTCAAGAAATCTACAAAACTTTAATTATACTAAAACAAATTCAAAAATTCTACAAAAGTGAAGACTTGTCCATTGCACATTGATGACTGTATGAAAACTCCCTGTAATGTTTGCTTCCAATTTGGTTTAATTGATTTCATGGGAGCAACCTTGAACAGAGGAAGAACTGACCAGATCGATAGATTTTTATCCAGTGAACACTGCATAGGTGAGTTATTTCTTGGGGTACTGTATGGTACTGTCAGCACAGTCACTGTTGATAGACATGCAGTGATGACCTCACATCTTGGTATTGCTGCTTGGTGTTAAGAGGATTAGTTTCTGACAGCAATATGTAAACAAGGCAACATGTAAGATGGACAATGAATTCAAAGAAATATTTTTCATTTTTATCGATGGGGGTGCAAGTAAACTTCATTTGAAGTTGATTTTCATTTTCCATTATTTCCTCGATTGAGCAGTTCGTTAATATTTAGCTTGAATGGAATTTGGTTGAATTAGTTTTGCTCCACAGCTTGAAGTTAAGCAAATCTATTTAAAACTATATTTTCCATCTTTGTTGCCTCACTCAACCTTGCCTTGTTCTAATATGGTGTTATCACCAGAAATTATGAGTTTCCTTAAAGGAAATGCCAGAGTGCAGATCTCCAAATAATTTGCTTGTAAGGGGGCATATCGCCCCCTTAGGAAGATCCCCTGCTCAGCAATAATGCATAGCCTGGCAGGTCAGGAATTATTTATGAATTAGGCCCTGTCATTCGAAGGCGAAGACGAATCAGTGTTTACATTGCCTTCAATCGTAGCTTCATCTTTGCTCCTGGCTTGCCAGGTCGCGGTGTATACATATGTTATCCGAGGGATTCAAAATGAGTTCTTGGAAAGAGCTATTGTGTGTCACCGTCATGATGAGTGGCCTGGCGGGAATCCATCCGAGATAAAGTCACATTCATATTTCTGGCCGAGATAAGGACGTGCTGGGGGAGACAGTTGCTTCATCCCCTCGGCTCATCGTCGACATCCAGATTTATTCATGAGAGCTCATTTACGAGAGTGAGCCATTCAAAAGGCCATCGCTTCCTTCCTCGGTGCAATTAGTGCATGCAGATGTCATCATCATCATTCCACGGTCTGTGTAGACGTCGGTTGCGCTTCCTCGCGTCGATTTGAGGAGGGTTTCGCCTGCAAGCCCGTCGAGGGATTTCACGTTGGGTCTTCCCATTGTCCCTTTGTGAGGTAATGCCCATCCGTCTTGTCCGTGTCATGCGCTCGGGCCATTTGTCATACGTGGAACGAAGCGCGTTATGCGTGGGAATGCCGTTTTTAGTACGTGCGGATTCGGGCTCGTGAACGGAGATTTGTGGGAGCTCATGTCCGATATTGTCGCTAAGGACGGATCTTTATAGCCTTGTTTCTCGCATATGCAGGGGCTCGTAAAGGGATAAAGGGCAGATATAGAGAAGGGAAATTGCTCTGACTCCCCTGTGAGTAGCATCGTGTCGCATTCCGCCTCTTTTCTTCTTCTGGGAAGACTTCAGAGCAATTTTCCTTTTCTTTCCAGACCGAATGGCCCTGACTCGATACCTCCTGTGGTGCGTGAACGACCTGGTGGGGTTCCGCGTCCCGGAACTCCGTTCCGTGGCGGCCATGCTGGGAATCCAGCTTCGGTTCCAGGATCCCGAGGAGACGGAACACCCGTATCTCCTGGTGGACCTGGAAGACGACGAGTCGGCTCGGAAGATCCTGTCGCGGACGCTGCTCGTTCGGTCCTGTTTTCGGTTGTACGCCGCGGGTCAGAGCATGGCGGAGATCCATCGGCAGATTCGTTCGCTTATCGCTCAGGACTTCTTGTCTGCGTATCGGGAGGCTTCGTTCAGGATCCAAGTGGAAGGCTTCTCCAAGACCATTTCCTTTCAGGAGAAGTTGGACCGGGTCAACGCCTTCGCATACCTTCCGTTGAAGGGGCCTGTGAAGCTGAAAGACCCGGATCTGAGCTTGCACCTTTTCGAATATTATGGCTTGGATCCGAATCGCGCGCCCGAAGAACCGTATCGGATTTTCTTCGGACGATGGGTCTGTGACGGTCAGAGGAAGCAGACGTCGAAATATTCCCTGAAGGATCGGAAGTTCATCGGGAGCACCTCGATGGATCCTTGTCTGGCTCTGATCATGGGGAACCTGGCACAGGTGAAACCGGGTGATATCGTCCTCGACCCGTTTGTAGGCACCGGATCCCTGCTGATCGGCTCGGGGCACTGGGGCGCCTACGTCCTTGGAACGGACATCGATTATTTGACCTTGCACGGGAAGACGAAGCCGACGCGTTACAATCAAGAATTCCGAGCCCCGGACGAGTCCGTCGAAGCCAACATGAAGCAATACGGACTCTGGAATCGGTACCTGGACGTGGTGGTATCCGATGCAGCCTTGCCGATCTGGAGACGGAATTTGAGACTGGATGCCATCGTGACCGACCCTCCGTATGGGATCAGGGAAGCCACGGAAAAAATCGGGAGCAAGAGACACAAGCCTCGACCCGTTCTGGGCCACCAGGTGAAGAGTCACATCCCCTCGAGGGTTCAATACGGGCTGGGGGAGATTTACAAGGACCTCCTGAGGTTTGCAGCCACCCATCTGGAGATCGGGGGGCGGCTTGTGTTCTGGTACCCGGTTAACCAGGACGGTTACTGCGAGGAACGTCTGCCGTCCCTGTCCTGTCTCCAACTCAGGGCCAACTGCGAACAGGTCCTAAGCGTTCACTCGAGTCGACGGCTGATGGCTTACACCAAGATCAAGGAACCTGAGAGTTCCGAGGAGCCCTTCGTCGACGCGGAGCTCCTGGCCGGGTTCCGGGACAGGTTCTTCGGGTCCGCCGCGAAAGGGACTCGGCAGGAGAGGAAGAAAACGGTGAATGAGAAACGACAGAAGCGACTCCACGAACTTCACGCCCAACTTTCGTCCGCGTCTGAGGAGGGGTCGTGACGGGGTTTCGAGATTAAAAGTTTCTACCCATCGTTCCGAATTTCGTGTCGTTATTGGCATGTCCTGGGATGTGACTCCATAATTCGATTAAGAAGAAAATTTCCTCCTTCCAAACTAATGAAATTAATCCTCTAAATCCATTTTGATTGGAGCTGCAGCGCTGTAATTTAATATGGACTTGGACCTGTAATTCCCTGATGTCGAGCGACAAAGAGCATCAATCAATATTGCAGGTGGGGGGGCTTCTGTCTCGGCGGACTTCCCCAATAGGCAATTATTTATTTATTAAGGTGGGTCCAGAAATAGAGAGTCGGGAAAAAGACCTGTTCTTTTCTGAGGAAATACTGATTGCCACAGTTAATCAATGAGGTTCGTATTCGTGTCTGTCGACCGATTTATCTGTTATTGAACAATTTAGAGCAGTGGTCCCAACGTTCTCGAAGTGAGGGCCACCACGTAGATATTTTGGTCAACCCGGAGTGGATCATGTACAAAAAAGTAATGCATGTACTTTTTATTGTATAGAATTTTTTTTTTCCCAGTAAGATCCCGTCTGGAAATGGAAATTGGGTCGCCCCAAGTCTTTATGCGCATTTGAACCGTTTCAGCACGGGAATGGCCATTTCTTGCTATGTTTAGCTCATTTGAACGCCCCAATTTTAAATTTTAATTCCCTTTTTTAAACCAAAAGACTGGAAAATTGCAGCAGTGATACGACGAAGCCCAGAACGCCGTTTTGGGAAAATGGAAATTTAACGATCCTGCGATGTAAGTGCATCGGCAAATGCAATCATTGCGCCCGGGGATGACATTACAGGATCATTAGCGACGAGCGGGGATCGGTTTTTTTTTTTCTCCTCGCATGCTTTTCCCTGATTCGCGTCCTTGTCTCGAGGATTTGGCGAGGTGACAGCGTTGCTTCTCGGTGCAAAATCCGATCGATTCCAAATCGTGTTTGGACGGATGGGAATATATCCAGAGTATTTATAGGGAAAGACGATAATATATTGAAGGTGTGCCTTCTGGATCAGTTTTATGGAAAATTTACAGCTGAATGGAACCAAGGTGGTTTCCATCATTTTTTTTTCCCAGACATTAAATTTTGATCCCTTGCGATGAGGTACAGTTCATGCTGGAGCCGGCCGATCGCCAGTGCTGAGAGAATGAAAAATCCTTAAAATATACCGTTTTCAGAAAGTGTCTCGTTATTGAAAAGTCAAGACATTTTTAAACGACGTCGCCGATGGCAAAGCATGGTCATGCTTCAGAAATGTCATATTTACCTGCACTTTGAGTCGATGTTGAGGCAAGGTTGCATACTGTCGGCTAAGAAATTAGGTTTGCGTAATCTTTAGCCTACCCCTTGGAAGAATCTCTGGTATTTAATTAAAAGCGACGATTCGTGCATTTCGTAAGCCTCTTTAGCCCTCTCGTGGGTCGTGAGAATCATACTTCCCAGCACACGAATTCTTATTAATGCGTTGGGAAACACGCTTCCCATTGGTTCCGGTCGATGTCGGTGGGAATCCGGTATCGGTCATGATTTGCCCCTTGCCCCACGAAAGATACCAATTGAATGTTCCTATATGTCTGCGTAATTTATTTAATGGAAAAGATAAACAGGAAGGTGCGCCATTTTCCCCGATGAAAACTTCTCATGAAAGGGGTGAAGACCAAAGACCCAGGAAGTATTTACGCTCCTCGTGCGAATGCCAAGTTGAACCGGCGTATTTCCTCCCGGATAATTGCTAATGGAGTCCCAATTTTTGCGTGACCTACTTTCTTTTTTAACCCTTAATAGCGGTCGAGACCTGTCAGCGGGTCCAAAAGAAATTGGTATGTATTTCTGGCATGGGTGTTAGGCGAAGACACTCACTCATTTTTGGCATGGTTCGACATTTCTCTTCTCTCTCTTTTTTTTTATTTTTTTCTTTAGCGATGAGTCGACGACTAGCTGAGAGTCAATAGAGGCAGGAAAGAGTTGCTAGGGAGTTGCCAAGGGGTTTCCAGGGAGACCGTCCCGATCGGGCTCGGTGACGCTCATCGCAATCTCTTCTCGTTTTGTTGTCTCTTATTATTCTTGGCACTGGTTTGAATGGGGCCGCGAAGAAATCCATTCATCGCGGGGGTGTTGGCATGGGGAGGGGGTCGTACGCGATTGTCGCCGAGTCGGGTCGTTCTTGGCACGGGGAATGCATCGCTCGGGGTACTCGGTCTCGCGTCGCCGTGTTCGTCTATTTGTGTCGCTTGTCGCCCTCCAGGGAGGCAGTGTCGTCGGGGCGGTGTTGTCGGAGTCGACGAAGAATGACCGGCCGGGGAGTTGCAAATCCCTCGGCGGGGGGACAGGGAGAGAAATGAAGACGGATTACGGATTCCCCTCCATTTTTCCCTCTTTCTCCCACCTCTCCCCCTCCCCATATCCCCAAATCTTCCCTCTGATCAGATAAAAAGAAGAAAATGGTCTTTGACGTGAATAGGACGTAATCCTCCTCGAATTGAAAAACTACCGCGCAACTCCTCGTAAATGTTTCTTCGAGGATTTCTCCCGAATTGTAATCTTGTTATCGAGCCGCCTGCATTATGGTTTATCTACAGAATGCCTCCTGATACCAATAATTTAGTGGCAGCAGTGTCGCCCCAAGACGGATGAGGGAACGAAGAGGAAGCGATAAAGGAAGGCTGTATATCTGCTCCGTGGACTATGACCACGGACGGCACTCGGGGCAGCGTGAATGCGTCTCGCTCATCGCCGTGTGAGGAGGCGTGCAGATGCAAAGTCACTCGCTGCCGTCTCTGGGATGTCTGGCTGGTCGGCTCGAGTTGCCCGTGGGGCGCCGTGAAGTTGTGTGCTCGGTTGAAGAAGGGGGGCGGGGGGGCAAGGGGGGGAGCCTTGGCGCTTAGAGGAGCGATTTGTGTGTCTGTAACTGTATTCTCTGCATCCTGAAGGCGCGGTCGTGACTAGTTCGCATCTGCCGGAAGTGTAGCAGCCAGGATTACCGGGTTAGGGTTCACAAAGCAGGTAAATCGGGATTAAGTATCAATATAATCCATATTTCTAGCAATTTCAGTAATATTCGGGGCAAGCCTTCGCATTTCTTTCAGGAATTGCTGGTGGGTTGCTCGAACCCAACCCCATTTTTTTAATTTTCTGCTCAGTGCCGTCAGATGTCTCCCTCTTAAATCCGTAGAGCCCGTCCGATGTATGGCGACACGATGCGTCTTGCTTCATGGCCAGTCCATTCTCCTTCCGAAGTGTCGCCCATAATCCTGATATTCACAGGATCGTTAAAACAAGAATTTACAGAGGAAGAAGAAAAGTTAGACATGATGGGGGGGTACCCCACAAAAAAAGACGCCCCAGAGAGCAGCCCCTAGTAATTTTTCCTCCCCGCTCTTCCCCACGGACACCCCGAGGAGCTCCGCAAGAGTCGTTAGGGATGAGGCCTTCGAGTCCCCCCTTCGAGTTATGAGATATGGAAGTGGCGTTTTAAAATCCCCTTTCCGTTCTTCCCTCTTCGACCGTCGCCCCCGCCACATTTCTTTTACATATGTCAATAATTCCCTTTAAATCGCATCAGTCTAGAATTCCCTTTGAAGTGGTTTTTTATGTGCAATATTGCCCTTGAGCGTGTTTGTATTACCGCTAAGCGTATTCTTGACTTTCATTTTGAAGAGCGATGATGGGATTTTTTTTTTTACTCTTGGAAAGTTTCGTCGCTATATTAGGAAGAGTCTCGAGAGGATTCCTTTGAAGGAAGAAGTCCTTTCGACGCTTCCGTGAGAAATTTTTACGGCGCAGTTTCCTCATGCCATCGCCTCCGCGTTGCCAAAACTCGGATCGCATGCCAAGAAGAAGCCGAGTTTCTCGGGGAGGGGGGGGGGGGGCATCTGCCTCGGTGAATTCCTCGCGGTGCTATTCGTCTCGAAGAGGGGATCCTCAGCCTTCATCTCGTTTCGAGACGGATATTTGAGGCTTCTCGGAGAGGAGGGGAAAATGAAATTGTCGATTTTCCTCTCCCCTCTCTCCCCGTGCATGAAACTGGGGGCGTCCGACGAGAAAACTTGCGCATGTGAGAAGTAAGGAAAGGAAGGGAAGAGAAGAGGGAGGGGAGTCTGGGATCTCGCAGTCTTCGTTCGACTCTCGGTGGGTCTGGACCTGTTGCGTTTCCAATGCGCTTTTTTGCATTTGTGTTGGGTTTGTGGGGGGAGTGCGGAGGGAAGGGTGTGTTGGGAGGTGGAGTGAGGTGAAATTTGAGGCTCGAAGGTTGTCTTTGTTCGGGGGGCTTTGTCTCGGTCGGGCGAGAAGGGGCGGGGGGTGGAGGTGGGGGGGCTTCACCTTTGTTTGCATAATCGTGAGGAGATTCCGGCTAGTCGCTTTTTTGTTTTTTTTTTTCTGGGTTGGGGTGGGTTGGGGAGCTTTTGTTGGGATCGTGACTGGGGGGGAAATATCGGGTCGGTGTGGTTCTTCGCCGGTCTCTGACGGGGAGTTGTTTGCTTTGCGGGGAAAAAAAATCAGCTGTCTGTCTCGTGTGGGAATACGTGTTCAGGTTTTTCTATTATCGAGCGGGGGAAGGAATGTGAAATGGGGACAGAGGGGCGGTGCGATTTGTGAATTTCCTCTCCCCCTAGCTTATCGCCTTCGTGGTTTTTTTTTTTTCTTCTCCCTCGTTTCCCGTTCTTGTTCATCATCGTTGATCATGTCGCTGCCTGATTTCCATGCGCAACAACAGGGTCGTTTGTTTCCCCCGAGCACGTTTCGGGAAGAACGAGGCGTTTCTTCCCAATAGGGGGTGCCGGAATACACGATCGGGCGTGAGGGATTTTTACCGACGAGGAGAGCAACGGCTAATTATTTAATGACAACTTTACATCGATGCAATAAGTTGTGTAAACGGTCGCGAAACTGCCGATGAATGAAATATAATTATTAAAGTGAGGTGCCAGCGGAACGATGTCGAGGCGGTCGGATTCAACGGCTGAAAATGGTCAAATTTCGCTGAGTCTTCGCGTGGAATTGAGTTAATTTCGGACGGTCGAAAGGGCGAGGAAGAAGACACCGACACTTGTGTCGGACATGTCCATCGGCGACTAATGGACCTGATTTTGGCAAGGGGCAGGGAGGGGAGCAGATGGGCTGGAGTTCGGTTTATTGATGACTTCCCCCGGGTTTTTTTTTTTTCCTTCCCTTTTCCACTTTCGACTCGCAGATATATACCCAACCTCATACGAATATCAAGAAGGAAATGTCGGGAACGTCCCTCCAATTTTGCCGTCTGGGAGACACGAGATCCCCCGGGACTCATGTCGTGCCAAAAACTCCCCCCCCCCCCCCCCCCCCCCCCCCCCGTTGTCGGACCGAAACCCCACCCGGTTATAAACTCCCTAATGAAATGTGCTTGTCGAAGGCAAAGGCACATCCACTCGCTCCTTTAATATGCGGGACGCATTGGCATGCATAATGAGGCTTAGCAGAGGGAAAGACGAGAGGAAAGAGTCTTGATTGCAGGGAAGGGGGAATTTTCCAGGGTCCTGACGTCACTGTTTACCCTGGACCTATCTGCGAGACGTGCTCGGGTTACGCAAACGTATTTCGGGAATGTGTGTGTGTCCTCTTTTTTTTTTTTTTCTTCGAAGTGTTTGAACACCTCTTCACCTGCTGATTCTCGTCGACTCGGTATTTATTGCTCGAGTGAGGGTTCCCCCCACCCCTTTTCCCATTTTCCATTACCTAATTCAATAGAAGGAAGAGATCCGTCTTCTCCGTTGCCGCGACGACGTAGGACGCGAATTTGGCCAATCTGAAACTCGACTCCGATCGGCACGGAGCCCGAATCGTGCCAATATACGGGATCTGGGCCGTCGGGGATGACGGATTGAGTGGCATTATATGAGAAAAAGCAGATGGATATACTGTCTATGATGGAAAAGGTGGAGAGAATCTGGAGAGCTCTTGCCCAGGCACGACCCGCTTCCTTTTTTCTTTTTTTTTTTTAAAGAAGAAAGAGAAGCTTTGATGGATCCGATCGCAATGTGGACGGTCGCTTCGACGAGCACAGATGCCATTTTTGTTCTCTTTCGACCCGAGTTCGAAGCGTTCCGTGAAGCGGGCGCTCGCCCGCCCGTGTAATGACGTTCGAAGAGATGAGCCTTTTCCCCCTTCGACGATGCAAATGCGGTCGGACTCGGACGACGGCCAGCCGAGGAAGCAGCTGCCGAGTGTGCCACCGCGGCCTGTATATCACTGGGAGCCCGAGCGGAAGAGAGGCCCGGACCCCCCGTTCGTCTTCCTCGTTCCCATCTGATCGATTCTCCCGGTATACGAGGAAAGAAAGAAGGCGTCTCTATCCGCCTCGTTCTCTTGGGACGGATACACTCTCTCCGGCTCTTCTTCGCAAATCATCAAACCCCTTTCCCCCTTCCCGTAGATTGGCCGAGAGGGCGTTTAGTCGAGGGCCTCGATTGATCCTCGCGAGGTCGAAAGGCCTTCCGGCCGTCCGCAAGGCCCTTCCTCCCCCCATCCCCATCCCCCTCGACCTCTGGGTAAAACATCTCGATGAACCCCTATCGAGAGACGGACGGGCACCCCGTGTGGAGGCTCTCCTCCCTGCATTCCAGAGTGCCGCCCGTGGGGGAAGGAGCCGATGAGGTGGTGAGGTGGGCGGGGGAGCATCTCGTGGGGTTTCGAATTTGTTACGGAGTCGCGGAAGCGGGTTTCGTGGATGGGAGGGGGCTTCATTTCCGGGTCAGATGCTTTTCAGAGATGCTGGACTCCCAATCTGTTAAGTAACGATCGAGAGAGCGTTCTCGCGCGAATCGGTGTCCAGTGAAGCGGTCTTGCCAAATCGCGAGTGCCTCGTCCTTGGTTATTGTTTAAATATGTTTTAAAACGCAGTGTCTGCAGGTGTTTTACCCGATTCCTCGGACAAAATGGGAAGGAAAAAAAAGTGACCCCGACGTGACTCGAACACGCAACCTTCTGATCTGGAGTCAGACGCGCTACCATTGCGCCACGGAGTCCTGTGCTCCTTCTGTTAGCATTCACATGTCATTTCTCATGGTGTATCGCGGTTTTCCGACAGGAAAACGAGAGCCCAAATGTTGTTGCTTCGGAGATAATCCCGATAACGTTTCTTCCTCCCCCATATGCATTACACGCACTCTGCGCTTTCCACGTGCGCCTGATAAAGGAGCCTTGAGTGGAATTGAGGCTATCACTCTTTCCATCTGTTTTCCCTTGCATAATGGTGGGGGGAGCCTTCCCTGTCCATTTTGGTCTGTCGGATTCGCTTGTCCTTGATGAGGACAGCGATGGACAAAAACTAAAGGATATTGTGCAAGGGCTTGTCCTTCTAGGTTTCATGATTTTTTTTCTGGGACAGGGCTATTGTGCCCTATCGAGAACTTCCTGGCATTGTGGGATTCCCCTTTCATCTCGTTTTCGTGTTCATTCCGCAGTCGTGTGTGAGAGTGCGTTTTGCGTCGTGGAGAGGGGTCTCTGAACTCACCGAGGGGAGTATTTGAGGGACCTAATTTTTCAGCTCTTGGATTGTCCCCGTTTTGTCGAGCGATGACGCGATGCCGTAACGGTGGGTGAGGTTGGGTACGCCCTTGGGCCTCGGGCCTTAAAAGACTTTCAGACTGATTTACTGGGGGATCTTCATCTTGTGTATATCGTCTGCGACCTCTGCCCTGCCCTTGGCGACGAAACCGTTTTTGTCGGGTGGATCTCGAAGGGACGAGGAAGTACGAGCGTGCATCTGATATTTGGACGCTCGACGGTGTCGACGTGAAGATCGAGAGATTCGGAAGTCGGTCGGGATGAAACTCGGATGATATTTAGATGTTGGAATGTCGCGTAAAGGCTTGTTGGATCGATGCACCTCCGGTCGATGGGTGGATGGATGACTGTCTTCCAGAGGGAGGATGAATTAGGTATAGACTCGGGCATGCCTCGTTCCCTTCATTAGGGATCCTTTTCTTATCACCTCGGGAGCACGAGATGGCGACAGGGGCGTTCTTTCCCGGTGGTGCGGGCAAGGACGGGGGAGATGGAATTTTCAGCGTGGGATCGATGGGGAGACGAATCCCGAAATTGAATCCTCGATATATATGGGTAAATATCTCGGAGGAAAGGGGGAAGGGTGGTCGATCTGTCTTTTTTTTTACTTGGCCCCATTCCCAGTTTCCTTCTTTCGTGATACAATGGACAATGAATCGCGCTATTGTGGTCTTCCGCACTCGAGTCTTGCAATGACGAAGGTAGAAGTATTAAACCGATTTTTTATCGAGCGACATTAAGGTCAGGTCGTCATTGACGGTAGGGAAGGTCGTTTCGTGGAAGGGAAAATATCATTCGAGGCTCATTTTCACACACTTGTTCCCGGCGATCGGTGTCGAGTACAGTCATTTAAGGCTATCGAGGAGCGGAAACGATTACCGTGGAATCCGGTCCCGATTATCTGAGGGCGAGAGAGTTCATTATCAAGACTGGTTTCCATTTCGATCCCCACTCGAACCCTCGTTGCACCCCTCAGATGGAAACGCACGGTCGCACATAGGAGTGGCGGTTTCATGGAATCGCTCGTGTCCACGCATTCATTCCGTGCTTTCGAGGAAAGCGAAAAAAGGGAGCGACCCGTTTCCGACGTGTCATTCCGTGATGCCACCCTGGTTCTCGCGTTCCCATGGCCCCGGGGGGTTTATAGGTCCCGTGTCACTTCGAGAGACACTTCGACGGGACGATTCTTCGACTCGACGCTCCTTCGACTGGACGTTTCTACGACAGGCTCTCGTCAGATGGGGTTCGGTGAAGTTAATTTGCGGACGATTCATTTCGTGATGATTTGTCGTCGAGTGTGACATACTCCATATTGATTCTTCGACCAAAACGCCCCTTCGATTGGACGTTTCTTCGACTAAGGGTAGCATGCACCAGACTCGTTAAACTGATTCGCTCTCATAATGGGCGTCTATGGGAATAAGTTTATCTCTGTTAAACCGATTTCCATAGGGGACCATTGTCAGGTCAGATCAGTTTAGCTTAAACGGATTCGGTGCGTGTCACCATCAATGTTAGAACGTTAAATTGACTGAACACCATTGATGAAAGCCATTTAAAGATACGTCCAGTCCAAGAAGTGTTACGGTCGAGGAATCGCCCGGCGAAGTGTCTTTTGTCGAAGTGACATGGAACCAACTCGTAGACCTTCCGACCCGCTTTCCGAAAGGAAGGCGTTGTTTCTTTGAATGGCATGGGAATGGAAACTGGAGACAGCTGCGGAAGGTTGTGGGTGGCGTATGTGCCTTTCCTCGCAAGGACGGTCCGGGGTGGAGTGCACGGTCTTGCATCACTCTGACTCACTCCGCGACTCCGTCTGGCTCCGCGTGTATGACTAGTGTTTAGTTTAGGGCTGTGTGCCTGCGCCTCGACTTGCCTTTCGCCCCCCGGGTCTGGTTTCAATTTATCGTTTCGAGGCGGAACACCCGAGAGTCGGATCGGGGGCTTGGGTTTCTTCGACGTGTCGTGTGCATGCGTGCTTCTTTTTTTCCTTCTCGTCCATCGATCCTTCGAGGAAAATAGTTTTGTTTGTTTTTTTTTTCGTGATGCAGGGAATCTTGGCGTGACTCGGCTAGACCAAGAGCGAATGTCGGTGCGCATTCGCCATCGATTCTTCGCGTGTACCGTTATGCATAAGAAAAAGATGGCCTGGATGATAAAAAGTGAAATTCTCATCTCTTGCCCATCTGCTTCTGGTTCGATTGAATAAGCCCAAACTTTTTAGACAGCTTTGTGAATATTTCTCTTTTCTTCTTTACAGATGAAGCTGAGACGGACGAGTTGACCCGTGTGGGACGGCTCGACAGAGCTTAGAAACAGTTTATCAGTGAAAAAAAAAAAAGAAATGCGGGTTGTGGTTAGGACCTAAAGCGCAAGATGGCAGTAGTGAATAGGAAAGGGCTTGTGATTGCCATGGTGGTGCTTTGGAACGTCGTTACCGGGATCCACCTGGAAAACGACATCGAAAAGTACATGGGGGACCTGGAGCTGGAGGAAGGGGACCTGAGTCACTTCCAGGGCGTGGACAGTGTGGAGCGTCGACGGAAGGCGAGGGCCATCGACGAGGACCGGCCCGAGAACACGTGGTTGAATCACGGGGAAGGGGGACTGAGGCGGATGTGGGGGATCCCGGACGCGAGTGTGGGGCTGGGCCAGTTCTTCTCTTATCCCATTCCTCAGGATGCCTTCGCGGGGGATGTCTCGCGATTTTCGGTAGTGACCGGCGCTCGCCGCTATTTGTCTTTACCGAGCGTGCTTGTCTAATGCGCTTTGCTTCTAAGTCGGCCTCTGAGAAAAGGTTTCCCCACTTTCACCAGCCAGGTGGCATCATTTCTCGCCGGAAACGCAGTTCCTGCACAGATAGGCCCACGCGAAGACGTGTCTAGGGTGTTACGGTGGGCGGTGCTAACTGGAGCGAGGGAGGGATTAGTAGACGGTGCTGTGTTTACTCTTCACTCGGCAGACCATCTGATTCATAGTAGCCAAGCTTTTTATATTCACGCGCCTAACCCAAAAACGTGGTTTTTGTTGGCGACTAAGGAAGTGGGTATTTTACAGGCCTCTTACAAATATATATCTAATTTGAAAAAAATAAGCAAACACTAAAGAGTTTTCAAGTTCAAAAAGGCATATTCTTTGCTTTAGGGAGAGATACGTGAAAGTGGACAATTCTCTGCAACCGAAGTACCGGCATATATAATTCCAAAAAAACTTAGTTGAAGACTGGTAGAATCCTAAATGAGCTTTTAAACTCTCCTAATTGTTTTCTCATCGAAATGAGTGTATTTGGGTCTTGAAGGACTGGGAGTAACCCTGTTCCCTGCGCTCTTCCCCCAGGAATACTGGGAGTCGTTATTTTGTACTGAAAACCCAATATGAGACCGATATTGGCCCGACATCGAGCCACTATGTTACTAGGAAAGTGGCTCATGATAGAATGTGATCTGATTTTTTTTTTTGCCCACAATATCGATTTTGGGTTAATCTGTAGTCTACACTTGTCCCTCTTAACCACTCGTGTCATGTTTTGCTCGAGTGCACGTCTTGGCTTCCCGGACCGACGGATTTTGGCACCCTTTCCCTGCTGACACTCAGACAGACGCGGCACACCCTATTAGCAGTAGGCGAAAGCACGGACCTCTCGGCACCTCGTGGCCGAAGCCACCTTGATGTAAATATAGACAGGTAGGATGTGGGAAAACGTGCGTTGGATTCAGATGTCCTTGAGTGGAGGAAGAGGTGATTTTCCACGGTCCTCCTTCCTTGGCAGGGATTCAAGGCTCCTCGTGACCCGGCATGCATACTCCATTCACGCTCCCATTACTACTGTTCGATAGAAATGGAGGTATGGAGACGGAAGGGAATCGAGTTATGGAGGCTGAGGTCCCCCTCGGCCCCATTATCCTCTTCATTCTCGGATGTATCGATTCCCTCAGACTAAAGGCCCCTTCCCTTGTTCTCTCTGCGGAGGGAACAACAATTTGCTCTCTCTTGTCCCTGGATTCCTGGGGCACGATCGCCTCACTAACAGCCTCTCTGGTCTTGCCACGGGGTTTTTATAAATTAGAGAGCCTTCGTGCTACCCCTCCCTGTTTTTTCGTATAATTACAGAAAATAATTACTTGAATTATCGAAGACAAACGGTCGAAGTAAGTTGTTGGAGGCAGAAACGTTTTAATTTCCGAAATCCGATTATGTTAAGTTGGAGTCATTTCCATCCATGATCCCTGACGATCGTGATATCACTCGACAGTTTTGATTGCTTAGAACCATATCGTTTATGGGAGATCGATATTTCGAAGACGGAGAATCCCCGTACCTGCAACCCCGTTAAGTACGAGTGCCTTAGCGCACATAGATGGAAACCGTGGCCTAAAGGCCCACCGATGTGAGCACACTCGTGACGAGGGGATTCCCCTCATCTCGACGGTCTGAATGCCAAGGGAAAAGAAGCATATCGAGCGGGAGAAAGGCCAACACCCTCGCTAAGGCCCTTCCTTCTTCTGTACTTACGCTTCCCTTGGCACCTTCATGTCGACGAGCCCTTTTCCCTTCCTCTCACGAGAACGATACTGGAGACTTTATTCTGGAAAAGAAGGGGAAGGGGGGGGGGGAAGCGGGGGAGGATGAGGGTAACAGGAAATGCCAGGAAGGAATCCAGAACAGTGTTTTCGTGCGGAACGGAAGTCGTAACGACGTGATCCGTGTTTCAGAGGAGTGTTTCCTTACTTCTCGTTTTCATGAGGGGGGTATCTTCTGCGTGCATCGTGTGCCTGGGGGACGTGGGACCTTCGATCGATATCATGAGGGAGGGGGAAAGAAGGGCACCGTGACGTTTCAATCTCGCTTTTTTCTGCTCCACTCCCCCAGCCTGGACGGAGGTGGAGAGGAGTTTTCCCCAAATTCCTTCGAATCGTTTGCTCGGCCGGCTGCTCCTGCCGTAAATTTTTGCTTCACCCCCTTCTGTTGGTGTTGTGACTGTGGGAACGTGACTCGGGGAGAAATACCCCTCTGAGTTCGCGCAGTTCCCTTCCTCGATACGCGTAAACAACGGGAGCTTGCGAAAAGATGCATGCCTGGCATGGTGAGCGGTGGCCGAACCGTGCGTTCGAGCTCTTGCAGATGAGACCATCGGTGGGAGCATTGGATCCTTGGGGGGTTTTTAGCGAGTTAGCGTTAGTCGACTATCGTTGCTCTGACCACTCTTGAGACGATGACGAGCCATATCTTTGGAATGCTAATGAAGCTGAATGGTCGTGTCTCGTTTCGGCATATGCCCGATGGCACTTTTGGGCAAAGGAAAGTTGAAAGAGCGCATTGGAAATCAGAGCGTGTACTTCTTAACAATAAAAAGGAAAGCGAGCGAATAAGACAATTGTGAAACTAGGCGAGGCTATAAAAGATTGAGTGCACTTATCGGATTAAGTCCTTATCCTCATGAGGTTTTTCCTTTTCCCAATTACCAGGTTGAAGGTCACCATGGCTTGCCGATGCCGTCGTGGCTCTATTTCGACCCTGAACACAAGAGGTTCGAGGGAGTCCCTACCGAGAGGGACCTGGGTCATCATTACATATCCGTCACGGCCCACGGGGTCTCGGTCTCAGGGGAGTCATCCGTCAAGGCCAAAGACGTGTTCGCGGTGAATGTGGTCAGGCGGCGAGGTCAAGCGGGGTCGTGCCCCGTGTCGGAGGATGATCTTACCATGTTCTCTCTGGTCGTGGATGCGGATCTCAACAGTCTTGCCCCGTCTGAGAGGGTCAAGGTCCTTACCAATATTGCCCAGTACCTTGGAATTCAACAGGTAAGAATTAGAACAGATTTCCTCTTTGCATTACCCCGGAGGCTTACCTTCTCCTCCCTTCAGCATTTTGCAAGCTGTATGATTGGCTCATCTTTGGCAAGATAGTTTTTTAAAGATTTTTTTCTGTCGCCAATTAGCAAGTTTGATAAATTGGATATTCCTGACAATGTTCACTTTTGTACTATTCATTAATGCTTTCTTTTTGCTTATTGCCTTGTGTGCTAATTGCATCTGTGTCTGCTGGGTACCAAAAAAAATGCTTTCCACTATTTGGTCATGGCATTTTAAGAGTGGGGAGCAAAATGACTCTTGGGCTTTAACTCATTCTAATTTTGAGAATTTTCTTTTGTCAGTCCCAGCTTTTGGGGCATATCTGCTCACTGCAGGAGTTAATGTGGATTGTGCTCTCAGTGACCACCATCTAAATATATAATTTTAGTAATTATGTTATGAATGTTGGGTTTTGAACATTTTAAAAGTAACAATTTTTGCAATGATTGGGGTTACAGCACTGATTTTGGGGCTCATTCCACTGAAACATGAATATCTGAAATTGGAAAAAACATTGAGCGGAAAAACAAAAAATCATCTATATCCATCAGATTTGCTGATGATAGTCAATGTAGTGATATGATTTGAGAATGAATGCAGTCAAATTCTATCCCTGTATCAGCCCAGAACATGATTACTTTTACATTCAAGCAGTTACAAAAATTAGGTGTGGTATCACACACTAGTTTCATCATTTCGTGATTCTTGGGATCCCAAACCAACATAAATGAGAAAAGTAGGCTTTGGTTTACCTTATCCTCTTCTCCCCTCATGAGTCTTCTCAAGCTGACAAGAGATTTGTCTCTGCAGTTGGCTTGAGCAGTTCTATGCCAATGAAAATGTTTTCTCTTCATTTACCCTGTTATCTTCTATACAGAATGAGGTGTGGTTGATCTCTGAGCCCGAAGACCCACTGGAGGAGAACTCTGCATTATCAGCTGGTCCAGGCAATGCATTAAGAAAACGCTATGAACATCCCACCTGGATCCAGTGGAAGGTGAGAGCAAAATAATGATATGCTGGTCACATTCATCATTTTATGCTTATTAAGGGGAGACCACACACCTTGTAGAATGATGCTCCCAAATATGCCCTTCCTGGTATTGCAAAATGAATGCTTGTGAAGGTGCATCTGTTGATGTGGGTCCTAAATTTTTGCAAATTCGGTCAAATTGCAGTGTCAAAGTTGTAAAAATTTTGAAGCAGTAGTTTATACAGAGTTAAATGGCCTGGTAGTCTCAGACATTGATGTAAGGCAGATTTTTGTGTAAACTTTACCTTGATGCATGGCCTTACAGATGGATTTCTGGGATAACATAACTTCAGATGCAGAAACCCCTTGTAGGAATTCAATGTCTGTTCTGTGATAAAGTTTCACATTGAACACTGTCATGAAGTGGACTCACTTGGGATGTATGATTTTTTTAAGGTTGGTTGCAAAGGAATGGTTTCCCCGGAGGCCAAGTCCGTGGTTCAACGACTGGAGGAAGAGGCTGCAGATGGCACGATGGCTGAGGTCACAGGTTATCCCATTGTTGGGTGGCATGTTACGGAAGTCAGCCCCAAGTCCATGCGCATCAGGAGACAGGTATGTCTGCCCTTGTTACAATGGATCAAAATGTGTTCCAAAGCATTGGCTGTTGTTGGTTCCTCATTGTGAACAAATATTTGAGGCTGAACAGCAGAAATTGACTTTTGCTTAACTGTTCTTTGTTTTTGGGTCCGTGGTGCACTGCTATGTTACAGGCAGGATGTGAAATAGAGTAATTTTTCCTAGTAAAGCTTAAGCAAGTTTGCTTTTTATGTGCTGCATCTTTTTTTACAAGATCAAATTTTCAATATTTGATTCATTCAAGGGTCAGGGTGTGAGATTTTCTCATTTGGTTGCTGGTTGCATTGAAATGTTAAGTTCTAATGCTAAGTTCTGATGCAGTTCTTTTGACAAGCCCATTGTCAAATCATGAGGCATTTTGACAAGGCAAGAACAATGAATCTTGCTGTTTTCTGTGCAGGCCTTTGGTTCAGGAGAATTCCTGTCATCTGGACACATTGATGATGAGGACTACTACTTGAGAGAAGACCACGAAGAGGGGTCGGGAGTAGAACCGTCAGGACGGGTTGTGCCCACCATGGCATCGCCTATATTCCCTGAAGCCACCGTCTACCACTCGGCTCCCAATCTGAGTCCATCTCTGGAATCTTCTAAGATTACAGCTTCTATAGAGGAGGATGAGGATGATTTCTTTCTCACACCATTGGAAACAACCAGCCCTGTCTATCCTCGTGTTCCATTTACCACACCCATTCCTGTAAGTTTGGATGCCTTACATTCAGGGAATTTTAAAATTAGATATTATAGATCAGAATATATAGATGTTCATATGTATGTATGTTGTCATGAGCTAAAACTTGGCATAATTTCATAGTTGTGTTCCATTCTGATCAATTTTGTGTTTTCTGCTAAAACTTTCTGCACATGTACCCAAGAACACCTTAACAACTTAAATCAAAGACTGAATCTTCCTAATCTTCATGATTATTTGTTTAAAGGAACTAAATTTTTTATTATGAATGCAGTATGAAAGCAATACTGTTGTTTCATGGTGATCACCACACTTGGCACAAATACACCACCCCCAAAGTGTGGGCTGTATTTATAAAAGACACAGGCTGCTTTTGATTGAAGGCTTCTGTACTTGATCAGCAAGTGCATTGACTGCTATGTTGGGCAGTGATCAAAGAGAACTAATTGGTTCCTGTGATTGAATTACTTTTCTTAGGTATTAGGGATTGTTAGAAATATCCATCCCTGTAATCCATGATTGGATTATGGGGATTACAATTAAGGCCTTTTTGAATGTGAGAATCACCTTTTCCCAAGAAAAAGGAAAATTTCGTTTTTCCAGCTTGAGTTTGGAAATTTATTGTTCCTGATATCTTTTTTCTTTTATGGCAGTGGTTCTCAACCTTTTCTTACCAATGGTACACCTTTAAGCTACTTCCTATTGGGGCACCTCTGTGCTCCCATGAACTTAAGAACTTATGGAAACATAAATGCTGGTTATTGTATTCTTCCTCAAAAGTTGACCAGAAATACGGAAGTGGCATCCTAAAGCAGTTCTTCAGCAGTGGTTCCAATTCAGTATACAATTCATGACTTGCTCCTCTGTTAAATTTGTAAAGAGGTTTAGTTGCTTTCATGCCCTCTTTAGATACTTATTCAGATAAGAAAAACTGCTAGGATCCACAGTTTCCCTGTCAGGCAGCTATGGTGCATGGATTTAGAATTGCTGCTTTTAAAGCATTTGCCAGTATTTGATTAGGCCATGCTGTTTGATGCTTGAAATAGATACTGTTGGGAATATCTGCCTAGCTTTCTTGTTTTCTTCTAAGGACATGGGAAAAAATTGCTCATCACATTGACAACAATGGGACTCACTTTTGGGTTTCAATTTGGGTGCCTTGCAAGACAGTGTATTTCAACCTCCCTTGTACAATTAATGTCTGCATTATTTCAAAATGCTCTCCAAAAGCTAACATGTTCCTCTGTCATTGGGATGACATATTAATGTATCTTTACAGAGCTTTTTTCACCTTGAAAACTGTATTGTCATCTATGTATACATAAGAGGTTAAAAATTCAATGTGACCCACTCCTGGGTCCCATTGTTCTGAAAGAAACATATTTGAGACCCTCAGGTGAGCCCCATTTGTTGTCAGTGTGTCTTGTCAACTGACTGACATTATCCATCCATTATGTAATTGTTCTTTCAGTAGTTTTCCTTTCCTGAGAATAAATTAGCCTTTAGTAACATGAGGGAGGGTGGAATGTAATTGCTAATCAGGCTGATTTTATTTTAAAAAATAATTTTTTTTGAAGACAAGTGATCAAGGAAGAGACTTTATCAAGATTTAATTTTAAGAACTTCAACCATGTTTGTTCAGATGAATGTTTGAATTTTTGTAATATTGTTTTTCATAGGATGTGGTACGTCCAACACTGATCCTCTCAACCATCACTGAGACAAGTGCCATTCTGGAAGAGGTTCTTACTCCCATCTTCATTGATACACACACTGAATTGGAGTCATCAATTACTGTGGAACCAACTTCTGTCATTGTAAGCCTTTGCCATTACAGTGATGCATGACATTTTAAAGAATTGTTCACATGTGCATGGTGCCGACCAATGATTCAGGTGACGGAGCCAACATCAACTAAAGTGATCCCAGAGGTCACAGCCTCATCAGCAAGTACACCAGGCTCAGGTAGCATCCTGCCTACTGATGAGACAGAAGTGGAGTATGGAACCAAGAACTGGGCCCCTTCAGTATCTGAACGAATGGGCAAGCAAGCCCTATTTGCAGGCAAACTCTATCGGTAGGCCCATGTCTCTGTCTCTTTTCTTCACCAATTTAATAGTCAGTTCAGTTAGTTGGTCATCTGTGAAACATGGGCCAAAGAAGATAGAGAAGTGACACACAAGTTGCAAAAGCATGGTTATGTCATATGAGGTACTAAAGAAAGTTGTACTTTTGCTCCTGGGGTTTGGTAGTCATTGATTCTGATTTTTTTTATCATTGCTGATTAGGTGTAAGTTCCCATCCTCCCCCCAATTCAGTGAAATCTCATTACAACATGCATCAGGTTGATGTACATTTTGGATTAAGGTCTTAATTTTGAAGTTCCAGGAGTCATTTTTAGTTACCATTACAAGTCTAAACACTGACAAGCCTTCAGCTTGTCAGTGTTTAGATTGAAGAAGAAGAAAGAAAGGCAACGATTATATTCTCCTTGCTAGAACCATAACATCAGATGGTATGGTCTGACAGAAGGACTGGAACCTTTTTGCATTAGAATGGGACCTATGTACATTTGGAAGATAAAAGAATGAATTCAAGGAATGAAAAAAAAAAATTAATTGATTGAAATTGTATGCAAAAATAGGAAGAAGATTCCAGAATCGCTTTTTGTGGACTTTGAGGATGGGAACACACGTGACCTTCGACTTGTGTTCAAGGACAATGAGGGGAAATCTATGGGCAAGAATTCTTGGATCCAATTTGATACTGTTAAGCAGGAGATCTATGCCTTGTGAGTCACCTGTTCCATCTCTTCTCAAAGTTGACCTCTTCAAGAAACCTTTTTTTCTAATAATTTTTTTTTGATTTTGGCAGGCCAATGGAAGACAATGTTGGGAGCTACAACTTTTTTCTTGAGGCAATTGACAGTGAGGGAGCTGCTGCAAAGGAGCAGATCGTCATCGTTGTCCGGCAACATTCCTATGCTCGCATTATTAATCACCAGTTCACTCTTCAGATGGAGATGGAGAAAAAGTGAGCTAATTTCAGAAACTTTTAAAAGACCTCAAAAACAAGTCTGAACCCATCCATGACTTATAATTTATGGATGGTCAGTTGAGGAACCAAATTCTATGTAGTGCTTAACCCTTTCATTGCAGAGTTTTATTTGCAGAATCACTACCGGGTTGCTGGGTATTTTCAGGTAGTTTTTAAATGAAGGTTAAGGCAACAGTACTAATGGTTTGTTTCATCGTTTTATGGAGAGAGCCACATTGTCTTATCAAAAAACCCAGAAAAGTATACTCATCAGCTGCACTGCTGGCATGGTTGCCACCTGATGGGTGTACTTGTCAGCTGCAGTGAAAGGGTTAATTCTGGGCACTTGGAAAAAAAAAAAAAATTTCTATTTCCTTTTTCCTGTGGTGATTTCATGGAAAAAGTGCATTGGCAAGATATGACCATTAGAGTAGAGAAGGTTTTAAAGCAGAACAACCCATTGCCCAGCTAGCAGGGGATACTTCTGAGTGTATAAGCTGGATAAGATGTCCTCATGACTTTATCTCATAGATTCTGGTTCATAGGTAATAAGTCTGCATAAGATCCTATATACAGATGCATGATTTTGTATGTTTAACAGGTACGAGTCAGAGTTTGCATCAAAACTGGACTGGCAGGCAGCTATCATAGAGCGGTTGGCCCAACACTTGGACAATGGGGACACAGATGATATTGCAGTCCTCCATTTCTCTGATCCACCCCATATTTCCTTCCAATGGAAGAATGATTCCCTTTCCTCTCACACTTGTCCTGATCCAAGCAAGATTCAAAAGATTCTTGATGAATTGGTGGTGAACAAACTTGGTGCCTTGCGAGGGAAGGTGAAGAGCATCATGTTGCCAGAGTTTGATGCAAAGCAGGCCTCTCTGAAATTCCTTAGCTCATGTGCAGATATGGAATCTCCAGTAGAACCCCCCACAACCACCGAGCCTGAACGTGTCAATTTCCCTCCTGTTTTGGTGAAACCCATAGACCAAATCAGGGCACGTGTTGGGGAGCTTCTTCGCTACACTGTCCCATATGACACATTTTATGACACAGAGGATGGGCACAGCCGATACATGCAGCTGACCTTGAAGACCAATGACTATCAGCCTATCCCTGAAGATTCTTGGCTTCAGTTTGATGTCAAAAATCGGGAATTCTATGGCCTGCCCATGCAAAATGACATTGGTCGGAAGGAGTACACACTTGTAAGTCGTATATTTGGAATTTTCTAGTCTAAGTTTTGCACTGGAATTTTGAGGAAAATATTAAAACTTAAAAGTCAGAGTTCATGTGAAAGCTGGGACAAAAATTTGATTTTCATAAGTGAGCTTTTATTTCATTATTGTTCTGCACACTACAAACATTAGAAACACCCCTTAAATATAACAAAATGCTGAATACAGCTTGAGTGCTTCATTGCTGCTTCAATTCTACCCACAAGTCAGTGGGGAAAGTTTAATAGGTGACGTAAAACAGAGTTGATAGATCTATCTAATTTGTTAGCATTTTTTGTCACTAATATTGTTTGGCTCTCCTGTAAATTTTTTTAACCTAAAATTTTATTTTTCCAAATTGAAAGAGAAATGAGAAGTTAACATTCAAACTTGTGCATGACGTTCATAAAAGCATAGTTTGTTTTGAGGCAATAGTAAAAATAGAATGCTTTTACTAAAATATAAAATATTCTTATTTCCAATCATATTTCTCTAAAATAAGAGATTGAGTTGCAGACTCCACCATGAAGAAGACCCGATTCTTTAAAGAAGTATTTGAGTTCTTGGATGTCAGGATATGTCCCATTTGCACTCTGAAAACTATCATTCAGATTTTATAGAAAGAAGATAATAGTGCCGATCCTGCAAAGCTTTGTGTTGCTGGAACTTTAGAATACATTTGGTAGAATTGAGGTTTAATGGAATGTTTCTCAGTGATTTTTTTCATGCCAAAAAGCAGCAGAGTGCAAGGTAGTATCCATTGTAGGGCTGATATGCATCAGTGAAGTGATTCCACCATGGCATCTGGTATCAGATGAACTTTAATTCTGTTGAATAAGGAAAATCTGTGTTTATAGCATGAATTTGTGTATTCCCTCCTGTAACCTGGATAAACATTTAAGTGAGCCACAAGTTTAGAGCATTTTGTATGTTATCATTTTTTTTTATAATCATATTTCCTTAGATAACATCAGCTTCTAGTGTGTTAATAACTTTGTGAGCTAATAACTTGTTATCTGATATCTCCTTTCAAGGTTTGCACAGATCAAGATGGGTTGTCAGTGAATGATGCTCTGGTAGTGCTGGTGGCTGACCGTCCCTTACTTCAGCGCTTCAATGTGGAATTCCGTATCCACATTTCAACGGACTTCAATGCATTCATGCGAGACACCCGTGCCAAGACACGTGCAGTGGAGAAGATTGCCAATCTCTTTGGGGACATGGACACATCCAACATCGTCGTGAAGAGCATCGAAGAAGGATCTGTCGTCCTAACATGGCACAATTCCTCTATTCCTTACCAGCCCTGTCCTCATGCACTCATTACTGATTTGCGCCGTTACATGCTGAACAACAACGGGACAATAACCAAGCGTCTCAGCGATACGTTCCTCCCAGATTTCAATGTGACACGGGCTGAGATGATTCCCATCCAGATCTGTCAAGGTGAAGGGACATTCAATGCTCCTGTTCCATCACCGCCTCCACCACATGATCCAGCACCCAGTGGTTCTGATGATGACTACCTAGTGACATTTGTTGTCCCTGCAGTGATTTGCGCTGCATTGTTACTCATTGCCGCCGTCATTGCATGCATTTTGTATCGAAGGAAAAGAAAGGGGAATATGGAGGTCAATAAGGCATTCACCAACCGGGGGATTCCCATAATCTTTGCCGAAGAATTAGACGACACAAAGCCGGAGCCGGCCAAGGAACCGATGATACTAAGAGACGAGAAGCCTCCACCGGAGTATCACCGTGGGATGTCAGGAACATCCAGTCCAGCCATGCGCTCTGATGAGCCTTCGGAACGCACTCCTTTGCGAGACGACCCAGATGACCCAGATCCAGCGTCCTATCAACCGCCGCCCCCATTTGCCACTGACCCCAATCGAAACAATAGGCCAAAAGTGACTCCGACATACCGGAAGCCTCCTCCATATGTCCCTCCTTGAATTTCATCCCTAGGGCACAAAAGCGAGGAGGAGTGAAAGATGTGAGGATCTGACTGGTATTTATAATCAGAGAGACATTGGTCGTATGACCCCCTCCTATACTAACTTGGATCTAAAAGCCATCATAAACACGAAAGATCATTCCACGCACACTTCAGCTTCCAAGTGACTGTGTGTGTGGATAGCATAACTCTAGCTGTTTCATTGTGATATTCTTTGGCTCTTTTTTTGTTATTTGTTGTCATTTTTCTTCATTTTGATTTCATTTTGTGAGATGAAATGCATATCATGCAAGTCGTGCTGTACCTCACACGAGTCTACTTCCCAACCCTCCCCCTGTGGGCATTTCTTTGATACCAGAATTGTATAGAAACAGATTTGAAACCAGCAATCATGAATAAAGTCCAGCTTTTCCTTCCATCTGATTCAACTCTTCATATCATCATTCAATGCATCATGCCCCATTGTCTTTCCCATAAACTAAATTGTACAGGTTTATTGACATCACTTCTCCAGAGTCTTCATCATTTCTATGATGAAGGATTTTGGTTTGCCCCAGAAAAAAAAAACAATTTACAAATGATACAAGGACCTGTAGACCTTCCTTCTTATTGATATCCATATCATGGAATGCTGTGAATAGTTGCATCCACTGCATAGATGTTGCAACGAGAGATGGTACTGATGGAGGTATGTGTGGACACGTACCAGTCGGCACTGGAGGCAGTGAAGGGTGGAGCAGGGAGGCTCGAATTATGCTCGGCCCTATCTGAAGATGGACTCACACCCAGCCCTGGCACTCTAATAACCATCAAACAGGTTTCTTTAATGTTTCATGTGCCTCGTGCTTTTGTGTGGCAGTTACAAGACTGAAAGCCTCTTATCACCACGAAGTTGAAAATTGTTACATAGTAGGGAAATGGATCTGTGGGGTGGGAGGGGAGGAAGAGCCGAAAACCTGAATTTTCCCTTTGGAATTTTGTAGAGAAGGCAAGCAAATTTACTAGTAATTCAGTCCTCTGAACAGCAGAAAATATATTTTAAAATTAAATTAGATTTTCACCTCTAGGTCCAGTAAGGAATCATCATAGTTCCACTCCAGCTTCTGCTTCCATTTTAAAGTGCATTGTTGAGCAAAAGAGAAACAATTTGCCCAAGGATGATAGTCAGAAGGACTAGGGGACTGTGGACCATCATGTAATTGTGAAAAAAAGAGTACATAGATGAAGTACAGTATGTTCACATCAGTAGGTGAATGTGGAACTCATGGGTAATGTGTTGAAATCATTTTAAAAAGTTTGTACCATAGAGGGGTGGTTGGGTATTATGGAAAGTAGCCACATGAGGCAGCTTCAGTGTATTGTAACTCTGCACTTGTAATGCCTTGTAACTCTGAGGTATAAATTAAACCCCTCAACTTAAATTTGTGCCAGCAGGACATGGAGGTGCCAGTGTTCTGTATGATACGACCTCGTGGAGGTGATTTCCTGTACACAGAACCAGAACTGAAGATCATGGAGAAAGACATGAAAATTCTCAAGGATCAAGGTGCTGATGGCTTTGTGTTTGGGGCCCTCGATCCCCAGGGACGAGTGGACAGTGCAGCCTGCGAGAGACTCCTTCAAGCTGCAGCTCCCCATCCCTGCACCTTCCATCGGGCCTTTGATGCCACTGTTGAGCCCATTTCAACCTTGGATGAGGTCATCAGACTCGGGTTTACACGGCTCCTGACGAGCGGCTTGGCATCCACGGCTAACGAGGGCATCCGGGTCATCCAGGATTTGGTTCAGAGGGCTCAGGGTCGAATCAAGATCATGCCTGGGTCAGGGATAAATGAAGTCAACGTGGGTCACATCCTCCGAGTCACTGGAGCCCGGGAATTCCACGGATCGGGACGAGTCCTCAGGTGCTCCAACATGAACCATGTTAATCCAGGGTTTCCTCCTTCTCCCATTCATGGGACATCTGCTGACAAGATTCAACAAATCCTGGCTGCTGCAAGGGAATCCATCACAGAGCAGTAAGCAGCTTCAGAGAATCATAAATCATTCATTTCTAATTGCAAAATCCCTGTACTACTGTAAGTTTCAATGTCCATGCAGAAATCCTGCTTGCAGACTATTTCCATGCTGATGCAGTTAAGAAGTCTGCTTCAGTTATGTTCTTGTTAGCTTGGTCTTTTTGATCTTCCAAAAAATTTACTCAAAAGTGAAAAAAGTTGAGCTGCAGTTGAGGTAAAGAGCTTCTGTCATTTGAAAGGCACCAGGTAATGTGCCTGTTCAGCCATCATTTAAGCTAAAGATTATCCAACTACAGACAAATATTGGTGGTCTTTCTGGATTGGGCTTTGCAAAGTCTCCTTGTTGCAAGTACTACAATCAAGTGCAGTCTGATCTCTTTGTCTGAAGTCTCCCAAACCATTTTTTTTGGATGAAGTTTTTTCTTTCATAACCAAGTTACTCGCTTTATATTTCATTGGATGTTTTGTCTTTTTGACCTTCAGATTCCCCATATCTTGTGTGAATCTTACTGACTGATGAGTTGAAATAATGCAGTTTTATGCATTCAGGGGTGTAAAGGGAGAATAGAGTAGGGGAAAAGCAGAATCAGCTGAGGACCGAGGTTTTTGGGAATCAGCAAGGTCATCCAAAAGCCATCCCCCCTCCCCCCACCCACTGAAGACATTCCTGATGGAAACCATTCATGATCCACTCATCTGACCTCCTTCCCTGGCCAAGGGTCTCCCAGCTACCAAAGGCATGGTCTCATCCTATCTCCTATGTGTAATTAAACTCAACTTAAAATGAGAAAGGCTGGTCACATCCAGTTTGTTCTTAAATGCTGTAAGAAATGTCACTAGTTGGCCAGTATTCTTCTGGGAACTGAGGACTCATTCATCTTGTCCATTATAAGTTGCTCCATACCACCCTAGTACCACAGTGGTTCCAAACTTTTATCATGCCATCCCATCAAGATTTCTGTATTGATGCTGCCCATTAATTTTTCAGTTATTTTTAATAATATAGTTGAATGGCTCACAAACATCCAAGTCTGTAAAAAGTATGAGCAAGCATGCTTAAGGATATCCTACAACACTCCATGAGAAGGGCTAAAAAAAATATCCAGAAAATGATAGTAAAATTTATTTTAACAAAAGGGAAATCTGCTGATAAAATTGTAAAATCCTTTTACCTTGTTATGCTTTCAAAATGGTGCCTTCTTCTGAAATATATGTATTTAATATCAATAAAATGTCATATTTCCAGGTTACTAGTTTACAGGTTAAACTTTATAATCTATCTCCTTTTTTGCTTCTTGAGGCAGAAGCTGAAATTCGTCAGGTATGTGGATTTAACCTCTTCCTTTCAGAATATAGAGCGGTTTTCTATACATTATGAAAAAATTTGCCTGTATACTTTTGTGCAGCAGTTGTGGATGAAAGTTATGACATTTTCAGCCATAAAATGGATTATGTATGCTGAATTTTTGCTCTTTTCTGTGGGCTGCCACAGGGATTTCTCTGAAGAGGAAAGGACTTCATTTCTCCACTATCCTAAAAGCCTACTAACCTGCCTCAAATCCAGTCTACAGTAAAGCAGAACAATGAAGATAAAATGGAATAAAATATAAAATAACATTTATCATTCAATATTTCATTCAAGGCTGTAGCATTGGAAGGTGTCACTCATGATGCATTGTCATGATTTATTGTCACTTGTGTCAAATATGAAAGCATATGCTGACACTCTGGAATGAATTTAAGCATTCTGGCCCACTGGTTCCAGAGGGGCCAAGGCTCAACTGAAGACAGTACCTTTTTGTATAGGAAATTTGGCTCTAGATTTCACTCATGATTCATTCTGAATAGACCAGAAAGTTGGGAGACTTCTGTCCTGTTTTTTTTTTTTTGCATTACTCTTCCACTTTCATTTTCGTATGTTCTTTTGCCTTCAAAATGATGGGGAGAAATGATAGAGAATGCTTGATGATCTGTTTGGGGAACTGGCACACACTTGACTGAAACTCATCCACAATGCTTCCATATCAATACTTTGTTATGAAAAAAGGTAATGTGTTGAAAATGAATATTAACCCTGCAACTACCAGAACCCAGATGGTTTTATGAAACTTTTTTATTTCCCTTTCCATGGTAGTGTCTCCACTTGGAGACATTAATAGAAGTTCATTCAGTTTGTAAGCAGCATGTGCAGCAAAGATTTGAGGGGAAACACAACTCCAATTGAAAGAATGAACTGTCATCCATTCTGGAATATTGTAAAAAGCCTCAGTTACAAGCAAGTTTTGGCTTGAGTTCAGTGCATCTCTGACCACTCCCATACTAATTTGCCATGGAAAAGGTTAACTTTTACATCTCTTCCTTCCCAAAAATCTCATTAAAATACTTTGCTGATGACCATCTCATCTTCATGAAATGCCTGGAGTGTTTGACATGTTATGATGCAGTCTACACACCATGACTAAATTTTTGTATCAGGGTCCATTGGAGCCTAAACAGTAGTTACTTTCAATGTCATCCTGAGTACATACTCATCATGCATCCATGTGCTTGCCTGTGGGATAACAATTTGGGATGCTGCTGAAAGGGTTAAAAGAAGTCTTGTGTGTTACAGAAGGTTTATGCTTTAAGAAAAGCTATTGATAGCATTAAACTTCGTTCAAGTTCAGGGCATGTCTGAGTTTTAAGTCTATATTGATTTTGATCCTAATTAGGAACCACTCTTTGTTGGACTCTTGATCACTAGAGTGACTTGAATGGTTTGATGGAATGAAGTTGCTTTTTGCATGTTGTTTCAGGTGGAGAGATCCAATCAGCTGCTCCTTAATCCCTTTCCACTTGTCCTGGAGACTCTTCTCAATGTTCCTCACTCTTCCATTTTGCCCCTTCACACTCCTGGGACTCTCATACTCATCCTTCTTTTCACTGCCATCCCCTTAGTATATGGTTCATGTGCCTGTGGTCAATTGTACCATTAGAAGCTCATTCCCTGGTCCCAGACACAGGAGGAACTATATCCGGAGTTATTCGATCTTCAGTTGTGGAGTGACCTGTGAGTTTCTTTTCCTCTGAGGGATCCCTTCATCCAGAACCTAGTTCAGTGCTTCATGCCCTTCTCATTTGGCTGTAGTCTCTTCCTCCGTACCTCCTCTCATACTTTTAATAAGCACCCTAATGCATGGTAATACCATCTTTGGAATAACTCCCATGTAGGAGACAATAGAAAGAGAATAATCATATGCATGGCATTTGTGGTGATAAGGTGATGTGCATCAGATCCATTTCACAGAATGTACACCAATTTCTTGGCAGGTCACTATGGGATAAGCCCAGCTGTAGAAACCATAGTCATACAGGCTAAAAGAAGTGAACTGGTACAGCAAATGTTTTTATTGCACAGGATTACAAGTGGTAGCTCCACTCACGTTCTTCATAGATTCAAAACTTGTGCAGCTTATGATCAAGTATCACAGGACACAGTTTAGATCAATTTCCAAATGGGCAAACACAAGGCACTACTAGATTCAGGCATGGAAATGGCTAAGGAAACAAAGTGGTTGTTTCCAGTCACTCCTGTAGCTGTATTCTCAATGGGAATCTTCCTCCCTTCACAGATGTGGGGGAAGAGCCAAGTAGGTGTCCAATAAGTAACTTTTTTTCACATGAGTAACTTTAACATATCCACCTCATATCTGGATCAATAGACTGAGCCACAAAGATAAATGTATGTTTTACTTGCATCCTAGTAGAGGTGAATTGTACAGCATATCATTTTCTTTCTTGAAGTACAAAAAAACTTTTCTGATCATCTCACTTTTTTCTCATGAATTGTCTATTTTATTTTGAAACTTCCTGCTATGATTGTGCTGCCATTGAATATATTCCAGTGAGGAGAGATGACTGGTATGTGAGGTATGACAAGCTATGATTGGGTTTAACTTTGAATGAAAGAAACACAGTAGAAAGAAAGTAAACTTTACTCAAAAGTTGTACTTGTAGACCAAACAAAAGTCACAGCCAAGATCACTTCATATATTTCTCACCTTCACGGGCCAGCATTTGCGCAGATGCCTTTGCATCCATAAAAAGAGTGGCCACCTCTTTAATGTCATCTGCCTTGATGCTAGAATTTCCATTGATCTTAGCTGTCAGGTGGCATGGTGTCAGGAGCTGTACAGCATACCTGCATTTCAAGGAAAGATGAAAATGGGAAATTATAGAGCCATGTTAGAAAAAAATTCATCATGTTTCTTTTAATAATAACCTTGAGTGCATTGTGGGAAAAGTTTACCTTGTTAAAGTCCCTGACATTTTATGCCATACCTGCTTCTTAAAATTTTAAACTCTACCTTTGGAATAAGGGTTCACCCTTTGCAGGGGTCCTTGAACACCATCAAGGACACAAAAAACACTTAACCCCATAAATTGTTTCATTATATAGATGTAATATGATGCACCTGGTTCCTGCATGCCTTTTTTTTTCTATTTCATATTACTTGTATTGGGTGCTTCGTAATGGTAAATTTTGTAAGCAGGTGTTAAAAGACTTGGCATTTAAAAATTAAAGTGTACAGGTGGTGGCTGGAATTAAAACACTTGAGAGGTTACAAGAGGTGAGTGCATTATCTTACCTGAGTGTAGTCTTTGAACCAATTTGACCAAGTTCACGCAAGGAATCATCATCAATTTCAATCCCTTCTGTCCGTGCCCGGATACGAATGATCTCCACCATCTCCTCCAACATATATGGAATGGTCTTCACTATCAGGAGGCGGTCCAAGAGATCTGATGGAACTCCATGGGGTGACATCACATCTTCTGTGCCTCTGAACATACATACATATGCAATTAATAGCTACTGTTTCCTTCAGCATACACAGTGTTATCAGAGGAAAGTATCAGAAAATGGTGTGCAATTTACAATACAATGAAGTTTATAGAAGAATAGTTCCTTCAGCAATTTTTTTTTTTTGAGTTTACATTTTGCTGCAAGTTGCTTGCCATGCAATTATGCAGCATATAGTGTATGTCTATTCGATGTATAGTGGGGGTGCCTTACTCCTGGCTGTGGCATAAAAGTATTTAATCTTTCCATGAATGTCTCCATTTTTAAAGACTTGCAGCGATTGGAACAAGAAGATGCTGAAGACAAGTCTGAATTAGGAAAACCCTAATCTCAACTTAGATTGACTATAGCACTGAAACTTACAAGGCATGCAACAAATCTGAATATTTGAAGAATCAAGTTGAACATTTAGAATTTAAGTGAAGACATAACAAATTCATTAAAAATTCCAACTGGTTGAAGTCCAGTCCAGTGCACCTCCAGACACTATCACCACAGACCATACAAGCAAAATAATGGGGGATATGGAAATGAATGAGAATGAGAAAAGTAGAAAATGCCCAGAGACACTGAACATGGAAAGGGTTTGTGGTCCAGAAAACCAATTCCACACTCCTGAATCTATTGATTTCAAAAATACTTTTAAAATTGTTTCAATGACAGGAGGCATGATAAAGAAAAGAATGAAGTGAAGCAACTGCACAAGTCAAAATCTCTTAACTGAAAATGTCAAAATGCATTGCATATGCAGTATGCTGCTATCTATGTAGAGAGGCTTAGAAAATATACTCCACAGTGCCCTCTTCCAAGAAACACAGGCCTCCTCTGCAGTATGGATGAACTAGTTGAATGATAAGGAGACCTCAGATTACCTGACAGTACAGCGTCCCCGATTGGTGGCAAACACAACAATCGGAGCAATGGTGCTCTCCAAAGCTCGATGGAGGTATGTGAAACACTCTATGTCGAGCATGTGCACTTCATCAATGAACAGGACTCCAGGAATGAGTTCAGCAATGCCCTGGTCAATGTACTTATTCACCACCCTGTTGATCTCCTTCCTCAGCTTGTCTGAATGAATGTTTAGCAAAAAAAAATTAGCCATCTCAACAGACTACCTTGATTAACAGAGGATTTAGGATATCCACCTGTGATTTCAGTTTTCTTTGGCTTGAGAAGCTGACCCATGATGGAAAGTACACCCTGCCCCCCTTGAGGCTGGGCATTGGCCACATCTAGGTCATGTAGGGTCACGTCCTGCACGACCTCCTTCTTCTTGTGTACGTCTCCCTTTGGGAGTGGCACATACTCCTCTGCCTAAAATATGAATAAACATTCACTGCTCAAGTATGTTGAACAAGACTGGATCATTTCATGATTAAAGAATGTTATAAACAATCATGCAAACCTCAAGGTCAAACTCAGTGGCAAATGCATCACTTCGCCCCATCCGTTTCACTGCTCCACTGTTCGATTCAATGTAGATTACATCTCCCACTTCTACTTTCTCCTTCTGCAGTGATTCATAGATGGATGGATCCAGCTTCAGTTGCTTCAAGCCCTTGGCAGTCTTCAGGCCAATGACCACATGCTGCACTGTCTTGAAAGCACCTGAATGATGAGAAGACACCCATGCAGTAATAAAGCATAAGTTATGTGTGCATGACTTGGTCATTATGAAATAACTTTGTTTACCTTCAAGTGGGTTTTCAGTTTCAACAGGAGTGAGCTCTGTCACCTCCCCTTCATAAACCTCCTTCACTTCCTTGATACGGAGTCCAATCGCCCTCCGGAAGTTTTCCATGAGAACTTCTGTTTTCTTGATCTCTGAACTGAAGACTTCTGAACCAACCATTGGGCAAAATGGTACCTGAAATCAGCCAAAAATGATAAGTATAGCATCAAAGTGGCACACAAAAGCTGAGGGGCTGCATTCCTACTTTCATTCCTTCCCAAAACCTCAAGATGAAATGGATTGAGTGTTTTGTAGACCTATTTAATTCTTCATGAAGGTGAAATTCTTTCTAATAAAATTCCTGAACATAAAAATAAAGTTTTTTCCTGAGATATCTTAACCCTTTCCCAGTCATAAGGGGCATTTAAATTCTATACAGGCTGTTTAAACCTGGATTGTGAATAACACATGTCTTTACATTTCATTTTACTATGCCCAAACTAATAAAGTTATGGGACTGAAATGTTTTGCATTCATCATTGAAAGTTTGCTCTTTCTAATGAAAGCATGTACTCACATACAGATGTGGCTATTAATTTATTTTCATATTGAAGCACAAGATTTTACAGAGAGCCACTTCACACTGCTGGCACATGAAGCTAGTTTATTTTCTTTTTCCATTTCAAACAAGTACTTCATTTTCAACTCAGGAATCCTAACTTCATCATCCTGTCATTTTTGACCACAATTTTGGCAGAAATTTCTTCAACATCTAGCTGAAGAAAAAATGTATATAGATGTATTGCTAAGTTTTTGTAGTCCAAGATAAATCCAGAATATGGCATGAACCTCCAGAACAGAAGCCTGCATCATGGCATCAAAACACACCATGAACCCAAAACTTTTGGGAAAGGGATGGCGGTAAATCATGCTACAGATGGGAAGGATTAATATGCTACCCATAAACAGCAAGACAGATTCAAAAAAGCTTCATTTCCCTTCAAAGTCATGGTGCCAGAATCATTTAATAAGGCTACTTCCTGACATTGCCTGCATTCCTATGCGACTCAGGAGCCCAATGTCAAGAGATTGTTTTATTAGAGTTGGAATGATTCACAGAGCATAAGGAAGTCCCAATGTGACTTAGAGAATGCTTTGGAATGACATGGAGTTTTGAGAATATTAACCCCAAGACATTATTTTGATGGTGTACACTGTCATGGCACCTTCCTCAGATAATAAAAAAAATTTTTCCAAAATATTTTTATAATGGTGATAGACATCAGGTTTGATTTGAATAAGGTTTGTGTATTACCCCTGTATGGTTGCCTAGCAACAACAGTTCACATTAACACTGGTCAAATCATTGAAGACCTGAGAAAACTACAAACTTTCATAGAAAAATTACAATGCCAAAAGGTTATGAACCAAGTCAACAGAAAGACAGCCATGTCAAAATTATGATGTAAGGTTTATCCCATTTTGTTGCCTATCACATACATACAAAAGCATCTCCCAGTAGGTAAACAAGCTTCACACAACCTGGAGCCATTTACCAATTCAATTTCAATTCAGGGATGTCTGCAATCAATGGTGAGAATAAATACTTGGCATCACTCTTACAGGGCTAGAAGTTTGCCAATTGCAGAAACATATGAAAAGAAGGGTGGTCTGATAAATTCATTAGTAGCAAGAACAATGCAAATCACTTTTCTGATTGGAATTCTATTGCATGATCCTCCATAATAGCATAAAAAATTCCTGGCAAATTGAAATCACCTTTCCATTTCCCAAAATTGCAATGCTAAATCTTTCCTAATACCTTATAAACCAATGTGACAGTTACCATCAGGATTGACTTCATTCAATTGGATAAATGCTTCTCCATAGTGTCTATTATAGACCTACGATCTCTTGAAAGGTGTCTCTGGGACAGGTGATCTATAAGGAAAAGGACATTTCAGCCCATCTTTCTATTATTCACATTTCCTACTCATGAAATTCTTTCCAATTTCAATTCCAAGGAAGACATTTTAAGTGCATTAATACGCACACTAGTACAAATGGGCCTGAAAATACTCACCCTAGTGCCTAGCTCATGGGCCATGGCCATTGCAATCGCAGTCTTCCCAGTGCCAGGTGGTCCAGCAAATAGGACAGCCCTGCCTGACATTTTCTTACTCTTGATCATGTCTACAATGATTCCAGCAGCCTGCAGACAGAATATACTTTCATATTTCATTCATAATTCCAGAAGGGCAATGCATGAAACTGACCACAAAGCAATATGAAAAAGGCTAAATACAGCAAACACACCTTAGTCCAAGGTCAAAGTCAATAAATGCTCTAATAACTTGTGGGGATTATCATACCTCTCTGGCTGCTTGCTGGCCCACTAACCCAGCAGCAATTGAAATTGCAGCTCCAGTATCATCCAAGCCCAGGCCCTTCACATGGCTGTGACTGGAGATGCGCTGCGTTTTAGTGGTACTCTTCACTTCTTCTATCTTCATTTTCTTCTGCCAAGAAATTCAAGTCAAAGAAAGCCTGTTTGGCATACACTATACAGATGCAGAGATTTTAAGATTGAAACAAGCCTGTCATATTTTGAAATCTGAAATGAAAAGATTTGCTGATTATTGGTGAGACTGAAAATACATTTCTAACATAAACTAATTCAGCATAAATCATTTGTCACTTACATTAACTTTGTCAAACACTTTCACATGAGCTTCACATCAGTCAAAAAGCCCAGGGCTTTACTACAAATATATATACTCTAATAAATTCTACCAGACACAAAAATGAGTGAAATTCAGTCGATTTTCAATATTTTTGCATGAGTGGAGTGTAGAAATAATCCAGATAATGTCTACATGAAACTCAATTGACAATATGAAATACGTTTAGTTTTCACTGTTAACATTAACGATGTTTCTGAAGTTCATTTTCACGACATAGGAGAGAATTGATTACATTTGCGGAAACTTAGCCTAACACAAGACTATGCTAGCTTCGACCTCATATTGAGGCTGGCTAAGCCTGGCATTCGAGAATCCTCTAAGTGAGTCGTGAGCATTCTCCGCACTGAGCCCAGTCTATATAGAATATAGGTCTATAACGTTAAGCTAGAGTACTAGCAGATTCTCAGTGCGGTGCAATCACATTGCACCGGAGATGAAGGCACCTTAAAAGGAAAAGGATAACTTAGAGCCTCCCTCACGTTCAAACGTGAGTGAGGCGGATAGGTCAATAAGTCCACCTTTCATTGATCACGCTGCTGCGAAGTTCAACACGAGGGTCTCCCCCACCTCGCCGCCATCACCATATGCGAGGCCTGCTTACGTCACTCGAGTGGGGGATGCTCCGATGCCTTCAGCTCGAAAAGCGCATGATGCCAATCCGAACATCGATTTTTGGAAAGCAATCGTACCAATAAATATACCGAAATTTTTAGCTTGCTACTTCGCAATATGGCGGTTACTGATTCCGTGGAATGGATAAAATTCGCTAGTTTTCGCAGTTCCTTTCTGATCCACGGTGTTGCAGCACTGTCGTTCTTCGACGTCACGTACATGCAGGCGCCGCGTGCTCTCATGTGACTGGTGGCAAAAAAAAGTACCTTCCTAGCACTTCATCAGTGGCAGTAGAATCCATTTAATTTTTGATCCTCCAATTAATGAAAAATACGCGAAAAATTCCAATAAATCCCGACTTTCCAATTTCACCGATAACTATATCAGTACCACTTGAAAATTCGAAAAGGCAAAAAAAAAACTCAATCTCACACTGGGGCAAGGATACATTACATGGATTGGGCATCCAAGGAAATTTTTTGTGAAAGCAAAATAGCATTACCCTAGCCTATTGGTACGAAACTACACATTCATTTGAGACAAGAAAGACTGAGGGAAGTGTTTTCCTGAAAAAATCGGAATAGAAACAAACCACGTGGGATGACGAACGACAGGAGGCTGTCGTTTCTCTGTTGTTCGTTCTAGCCTGACTCCTTTCCTCAATCGTATTATGTATGAAATTCGTACTTTATAGCGAGATGTCACATTAAAGGCGTATTTTTCTACAAAAAGGAAATACCCAAGCAGCTAGTGTGACACGGAAGTACGCGAATTGCGAAGACGTTGAACGAGAACTGCACTAATTTTACGCGATGAAATGCCGGGAGCCCCAGCAGGGTCCCTTAGGAAAACGACGCACCTGTTGAGTCCACCAATGACGCGAAAGACGAGCTCAGTACACCTGCAAATCAAAGTTACGCCATGGTATCTTTCGGTGACACAAACGCGTTCCGTCAGGAAAATGTTTCTGAATAGGTCCAGTGATTCCAAAAAGCTAAACGTGGAAACTGTGCAGAACTAAGTCTCTAAGATTTTTCCTTTTTTAAAAATTTAAATTTGATGTAATTTGTTCGCCCATGGCAAGCTCTGGTACCAGAAAAAAAAAGAGACACAATCATATTCAGGAGATTTATTGTCAACCTTGGGACACAGGTGACTTTTTCCACACAAAAAGATTAAAATACAAATGCTTAGACAGGTGAAAAAGTTGACTGGACAGACAATTTTCCACACAAAAAAATTTAAATAAATATGCTCAGACAAGTGTAAAAAATGACTGGACAGACAATCCGGTTGGAGGGATCTTGCAGACAAAAAGTAATTCTGCATTGAAGTGGTCAAAAGGAATAATTATATTTACATTGACCCTTCTCATCTGGCACTTTAAGCCAAATCAAGAGATGGGAGTTTAGGATGTGGTTTTTCTCCAGGTTGGTGAGATAAAATGTCTCATCTGAAATTGAATTCAAGGAATGACTATATTAAGGGCAGGGAAAAATGCCTTGAAGCAGCTTGCCACCCACACAAGTGAACAAAGTGAACAAACTCACTTCCTTTCATGGAACCAGAGACCCTCAAGGTAGGGCAAATGCTATGCCAATTATGATATTCCATTCTAAAATTTGAAGCATAGAAGGCTTTCAAGAGTAAAAGAACAACCATATTGAGTGAGAAACTGAGATTTGTGTAGGTACCACTAGTAGCTTCCATTCTGCAAAGTTTAAATAAATTTCCATCATGGTACAAATATAATTCACAATATATGACAATTTCAACATGTTCTCATGGTTCCAACAGTCTGCAGAACAAATTTTAACTTCTTTGGTTCACAGATATGAATTTGTGGGACAAAGTGGGACAAAGACAGGACTTACCAGGGAAAGTCCAGTCACTGCTGTCACAAAAATCATCATTGTCAAGTGAAAGAGACCAATATCAGGAATTTCCAGAGTGTCAGTTGATGTGATATAAGGTTAAAAGGGAAAAACAAAAAAATATTTTTTTAGAAAGATTTTTGAGCATTTTTTGGGAGGTACTACAGTAGACCAAAAGTTGTATAATTACATAGTAATAAACTAATAACTCAGGCCTGGTGCTCCAATCCGCTTAATGAAGACGGTTTCTGCGATGAACCAATTTCCCATTTCCACCCTAAATGTACACAAACTGTATTTGCTGTAAAAGGACTTAAACATTTAAAAACTAATAGATGAATTTCACTCCATACCCTAGTCTTTGCAAAAAAGTATAAGCAATTAAGCTCCGGCAAACTTCTGAGTAAACATATAGACTTACCCAAACTTGTATTAGGCTGTTCCAAAATAAATGTCCGAATTCGATCGCAAACTTTGAAGGGTCGTAACTCAGCTGATAATGAACATTTTTAATCGAAGTAAGCACCATCCGCTTCAACACACTTCTGCCAACGAGATACAAGCTTGTTGATCCCAGTCGAGTAGAAATCCTGGGTTCTGGAGGCGATGAAATCCTTAAAGGCATCTTCGGCAGAGGTCTGATCATGGAAGTGTTTCTCCTTGACGAAGTGATCCAGGTGTTTGAAAAAGTGGTAATCCGTAGGTGATATGTCTGGGGAGTATGGTGGATGAGGCAGAGTTTCGTAGCCCAGCTGATTCAGTTTGCGTACGGTGAGATGTGCGACATGCGGTCGGGCGTTGTCGTGCAGCAGAATCGGCCCCCTTCGGTTGACCGATGCAGGCTGAAGTTTGCGAAGTTTCTCGTGCATCGTGTCCAGTTCGTCACAGTACTTCTCCGCTGTGATCGTTTCACCAGGTTTCAGAAAGTGGTAGTGCACCACTCCTGTTGAAGTCCACCATACAGTGACCATAGTCTTCTTCGGGTGAGCGCTTGGCTTTGGGAAGTGCTTGGGAGGCTCATCTCGGTCCAGCCACTGCGCCGATCGTTTACGATTGTCGTACAGGAGCCACTTTTCGTCGCACGTAACAATACGGTCGAGAAAAGGGTCGTTTGTGTTGCGTAGAAGCAATGCGGAGCTGATCTCGTATCGGCGAGTGCGATTACTCGCGGTGAGTTCGTGCGGAACCCATTTGTCCATCTTCTTCGTCTTTCCAATGTCGTTCAGATGACGGGAAACGGTTGCGATGCCAACAGACAATTCTTCCGCAAGCTCTCGGACCGTTACATGGGGATCACGTTCCACCATAGTCTTCAGAACGGCGTCGTCAAGAGACTCTTTCCGACCTCTACCTTCCTGTTCTTCGAGAGTCTCATCTCCGTTACGAAACTTTTCGAACCAGCGTCGAATGGTGCGATCCGTGACCGATCCTTGGCCGAACGCAGTGTTGATTTTATTCGCCGTTTCGGCAGCATTAGTTCCAAGTTTGAACTCGTAAAGAAAAATCGGACGAAAGTTGCGTTTCTCCATCGTTCGCTTTGGCAGCTACAGGAACGTTAGGCTAAAGATAAATAAAAAGCAACTAAGTGGCTTACGTAGAGAAAGGTTTGCTGAAAAAAACGGTATATAACAATAACTGGTTATCGCAAAATTGACAGGTACAATGATAGACAAAACATTACGCTTCGAAAATCGGACATTTATTTCGGAACAACCTAATACAAGAAAAGTGGAGCATTTGTTTTTGAAGTGCAATGAGTCAAAAGATTCAAATTTGCTAGTTGCAAAAAATACTAATTATTTGAGACAGAAGATGGAGGCAGAGAGAGAGATAGAGAATTTTAGAATCTTGATTGAGAGCAGCAACTTTTCTAACTTCACGTGAGGCCTCTTCATATCAGCAATGGAAATAAGGCTGATTTGAACAGTGATGAACTTGAAGGGAATGCTCAATTCCTTGATGTTAGTATGCTGTGCTGAATCTGTTCCTGAGCCTCAGAGGATTTATTGGCTGAAGATGCCATGCTATCCTAAAGAATATCTTCATTCTGCACTCTGGGAAATTTTTGTTGGTACCTGTCCAAGAAACAGGAGAAAAAGAATAAAGGCATGATCACTCACTGGCGACATACTGTTGGCGCCTCCAGCAACAAAGCAATTTAGACACCTTTTTCAAAATCCATCTCTTTGCTCTTCTTGTTCGACTTTGTACGTCCATCATGTCTCCCTGTCACATAAATTTCATTCACAGAAATGGAAAAGATCTTGAGCCAACAAATTTCCTTTCTGCTATGGTTGCCATGGGCTTCTTTTATTTCATTTAGAGGTAGGTAGTATTGAAACATAAAGTACTTGTTAGGATTTGAGAGGTAGAATATGCATTATGGTATACGATTGACATTTGATATTGAATCGAATTAAGTAAGGGTGCTTCCTTTCACCAATGCAATGAAGCTGCAATGAAGGTGCAAGTATGGAGAGAAAAATGCAGTTTGAAGAGTTTGATGGACAGAATGGCTACTCCTCATGTTTGCTTATTACATATTACCACATGCCAAATATGTTTCCAAGTTAGGTAAAATTGAATATGTAATGATAATTATGAGAATCCCTTTACACTAATATGACATTAGATATTAAAGAACAGATAGAATATTCTGTCTTTCTCAGTTCATAGACACTCTCTGGTGTTCCCTTTTTTCTTCTTCTTTCCCCGAGTTTTTCTCAACTGTCATGAAAGAAGCACCACCCTTGGTCTAATTCTTTCACTCAGTCTCTCACAGTGGCCTGCTCCACAGGAAATTAACAAGTTAAAAGCACAGTTTCTACCAATACAAGAGTCATTTTCCTTTAATCAGCTCTTCCAGCAAGTCCTGCTGCAAGAGCTAAGTAATAAAAGCCAGACCCCTTGTATATGCATGCCCTACAATTGTAACTTCAGCTTGTAGATTGTATATCTGTAAAACATGGCCCTGGTGTCTCTGTTTCCTGCTTCTTTTTACCTTGTCTTTTTCTGCATTTTCTGAACCAGTTATTTCTATTTCTTTGACTTTTTTCCTTTTTACTCTTCTTGCTTTCTTGTCCATATTCAGGGCTGATGAGGCTAAGAAAATAATAATAATATAGGGCTTTGAAGGACAAAGAAGTCAAATGTCACAAACATTTTTGAGGCAATGATGCATTCAAGCAACAGGGATGTGCTTTTGTATTCTGCAGGGGGGGGGAACAAACAGGTTATAGGAAGGCAAAGAGCTATGGGTGTGGTGGAGGTTTGTTCCCACTTAGTTTCCCTGATATGACATTCCAGTCAGGCAAGAAGATTCAGATAGAAAAAGGGCTCTGCAAGACCCTTTCAGGTGAGGATGCTGTACAAGACATTCAACAACTATATGAGAAGATGGCACAGCTAGAAGTATACATATCAATATGTATATATGAGGGAAGGTAGAGAAGTTAGTTTATTTATATGAATCATGTCTTTGCTTCTCAAGTTGTACCTTGTTCTCTGCATTTTCTCAATCCTCTTATGTTGGACACACCAACATCTCCCACCTACAATTTTTTCCCAATCTGGTGTTTTAAACACTTAGGCATAGCAAAACATATGTATAGTTCTTACCATGCAGCAAATGCATAGGAAACTCTTTCCCGATGGAGAAAAAGGAAAAGGTTGTTTTAAGATCTGTTACCTGGAGACAGATGGTTTAGTGATTCATTGTTGAGAAGAAACACTTGGAGGTTCTGCTCAAGAGATGGTGACATTTGAATTTAACATTTCATAAATGAAGCAAAAATGAAATTAAAACATGTTGTTGATGCTCTTTGCCATGGTGATAAAGATAGTAACAGATATTAGTATTCAAAACTACTACTCCGTGCACACTGCTGTTAATTTTTTAATTGCACCAATGACAAGCAGAACTTTTTTCTTCTAATTTCATGAAAAAACCTTTCTAGTATGTAACTCAAGAGTTAGAATAAACCTCTCCAGAATATTCTAGACAAACTTACCAGAAATTGAAATTTAAGGGAATCCCTTGTATAATATAGGAATTGCAAGAAATATGTAATTTTATATAACTTGCTGATTACCTTGTTACATATGCATCATACATTTTCATTAGGTAAGACAAAATGCTTCTCAAAGTTTCAAATAATTTCTTGCATGTCAGACTTTCAATAATACCTCTTCAAATGAAAACATAAATAAAGGTGGTACAAGTGAAAACACAGCATCCACAATAGAAATGACAGTAAAAAATCAATAATTGCAATCAACTGTAAGGCAGGTTTTCAAAATTGGAGAGGTTCACATGTTCAAAACTCTCTTTTTTCTTGGGCTAAAAACTTCAAAGTAAATTACTTGTTTAACCATAGAATGCACAGGTTCCAGAGAAAAAGACACACATGATGGGATTTAGGAATTTTATTATCAACCAAGGGACACAAGCAGACCAGGCAGATTTTTTCACACAAGAGAGATGTGTGATGCAAAAACAGATAGAGCAGTTGGCTGAACTGACAGATCAAGTAGCAAGGATCTTGCTGACTAGAAATAATTTATTTGCATTGATAAGGTCCAATTGCATATATATTCAGACTTCATTTCTTTCATTTCATTTCATTCATACAAAAATAATGAAATAGGAGTTTAAGACATGATTATTCTCTTGGAAAATGAGACGAAAAGTTATATCTGAATTTGATGATCCCTTCAATGCAGGGAGAAATGCCTACAAGCAAATAACTATAGAATATATCATATGGATTACTCAACTCACTTCCTTTCATGGAACCCATGACAAAGCAGGTGTGACAAATACAAAAAATTCCCTTAAATAATATGAAGCATAACCAAATGGAAAGATCATGTATAATCTTTCCTTTTGGAGTATGGTAATTGTATTCAGTTATCTCTGTCATTTATATTTATACATTTCCCATTTCTAGTTCCCAGTTTTTCCAGGTTTCCAATTCATGATTCATTTCTGGAAATTTTAAAATAATTTTAATGATTGTTCGTTTATTCTGGCATGTTTC